TGGCCTGCTACTAAGACATATGCAACTGCCGTACTCAGTTCTAGTTTCTTGACGGAATAATTGTGCCTAAAAAAGAACGAAAAAAAGGTGTCTTGATTTGTAGGACTCTACCAATCAGCGCACTGATATATATCTTCACGTCCCACTACCAAAAACGCAATATTGCAGTCTCCAAAAGGTAAGAAAAGATTGAATCATGAAAAGATAGCTATCCCATTCATTCATCACAATAGGAAGATTTTTAGTACACACTGAAATTAGATAATGTTGCAGCAGCATCATTTAGTGGCTAGTGGAAATCAAACTTATTGAACAGACAGTTTAGCTAGCTAATGCAATCTTTGATTAGGCTGATCCGTCAGTACGTAAATGGGTAGTGCTCATACCTTACTGCACAACCAACAAGAACTGCTGACCGTCCATCGCATTTTGACACGTACCTAGGCTAACAGAAAAAGGATCACCAGCTGTGTACAATCCTCCGTTGCATAGAAGACTTGTCACGTTTTTGTCTGGAGTGCTTAGGAAAACCCTACGAGTCCGATTAGGGTAAGGGTTACTGCAATTTTCATGAGATGAATGCCCAATTTTTTCTCTGTTTCTTCTTGCTGTGATGCCCCTTGATCTTAACAGACTTGAAGTGTTTCAACTTTGGATTATTCTTTTTATGGATTTTCTTAATCTTGATCACTATAATTATATGTTTCTCCGTCCATCCATATTTTTATACTGGTATTTGTCTTACTTGATTGGTCTTATGTTTGATTATCCTGTTGTTTGTTACATATGTGTCTTCTTCTAACAGACATTTTGGGTCAAATTATATTTGCTTCTGAAAACTGAATTTTTATAAGATCATGACATTATTTAAGACATGAGTATTGATGCCGGGATAGAGTGGTCATAATCCTATAATCTTATTTGGCCTACAGCTTTGTTAAGGGACCTTGGTAAAGAATAGAGATTAAGGCCAAACCTATTAATCTATCCCATATTTTGTATATGTTTTTCTATGGTGTGAGTGATGATGAAATCTAAGTTGGGAGTGCGTGTGGCTGTTCTATACGGCAGCACACTCACAAGGTTTGAAATCTCACAATGAGTAATCCTTAACCATTTCTCTCTTGGTGAGACTATAAAATGTTTTAGTAATTTATTTTTAATAACCAGGAATGATTTAAAATCCAAAGGTTAAGCATACTTTGACAACTTTAGGCAAGGCAAAATTTAGTCACCCTTTCTTCACTTTACAAACCTGACTATATACGAGTCCCAAGGATCCCAACCCTTATGAGTGTGTTGTCGTATAAAAATTTCTTAAGTCTTAAGTTAGGCACAACGTGTCCGAATCCAAATTTTTTTTTTCTTTCCAAACAATATGCATGCATAAAAACACATTATATGATGAAGTAATCTCAACCATCTATTATATGATAAAGTAATCTGTCATAGTTTCAGTTACACGGTTAATTAATACATATTTATGTTATAAATAGGTAAAAAATAATGAGTGAGAACCTGTGTTGGAGAATAAAGTGGAACATGATCAATGTATCACTCTGTTTGTTTTCTTCACTTGTATCTAATAAGGAAAATGAAGAAGTAGAGAAGTGAGGGAAACTTGTATAATTTCTTTCAAATTTTATCTCTTTGTTGTTGTTAACAATGAGACAAACATACCTCTTTATATAGAGGTTTTCATCCAACTTCTTCCTTAGTGCTTGGAAAATCTACACACCAAAATAGTAAAAACAAAACTAACACTATTTAGGCCATGTAACACTTTGACTTTCATTCTAATGGCCTTCATATCACACCATTCATAAGACTTCCTCGTGGATGCTCATATATCAATATTGGTTGCCTCATTAAAATCTTGCTTGAAAAAAACCCAATAGGAAAAAATCGTAGCGAGGAAAAGGAGTACAACTTTGTTTGGATTATTGATATAGTATCGAATGTGCTTTTGTTGCCTAGTTAAAATCTTGTAAGGAAAAATCGCATGTCATGGATGCTCCCCCTGATTCCGTAATCTTCAATTTGATCAATTAATGAGTCGATGTAATCCGATACCATGCATCAGTTTCTAGAACGTACACTTTGGTAGAGATTTGGTGAATAGGCCTACTACGTTATCGTTGGAACATAGTTGTCTGACTTCAATAATTTTAACCTTCTGAAGCTCATGTATATTGAAAAACTTTGGAGATATGTGTTTAGTCTTATCGTCTTTGATGAATCCTTCCTTCATTTGAGCAATGCAAGTTGCATTGTCTTCAATGACAGTTGTAGTATTCGTTCATTAAGACATACCACATGAGTTCTAGATGTGATGGATCATTGATCTTAACTAAAAACATTCACGATTGGCTTCATGGAGAGCAAGCATTTCTGAGTGATTAGAAGATGCAGAAGCTAGTGTTTGCTTCGTTGAGTACCATGAAATTGTTATATTTCCATAAGTGAACACATATCCAATTTGTGAGTGGCTTTATGCAGATCAGATTGAAAACCAACATCTATTTATCAAAAAAGATTATGGCCATATGTGGGTTTCTCATAATAGAGTAGGCCCACACTTTTATCTCATGAAGATACAGTAAAACACCTTAAATTCCCTTATAATATCAAATTGTTAGAGCAGAGGTATATTTTGCTAACAAGTTGACTGAAAAAAGCTACATCTGGTCTAGTACATTATGCTAAATACAATAAGGCACCTATTACACTCAGATATGATACTTCTGGACTAAGAACTATTTCATCATCTTCTTTTGTGTGGAATATCTTTCGTAGAGACCAAATGAGCTTTATCCATGCTAAATTGCTTTAAAACCTTTTCCACGTAACTTGACTTATGGACTAAAATTCCATTAGTACAATGCTCGATCTGCATGCCAAAACAATATTTTGTTTTCTACGGTCTTTCATGTTAAATTTGTTTTTCAAATATTGAGTAGTTTTGTTGAGCTCTTCAGGAGTCCCAACTAAGTTGATGTTATCAACATATACTGCCACTATAGCAAATCCAAAGTTAGATATTTTAATAAACACATAAGACAAATAATATCATTGGTATGTCTTTCCTTGATTTAAATACTTATTGAGACGATTACACCACCTTCGTCCAAATTATTTAAGGCTTGGGTTTGGATTATTCTGTGGAAGTTGATTGTAATTGTGAGCACCATAGTTCTTACACTTTCTATTCCATTGGCCTCGCTTGGGGCCATGTTCTCATCTATAATTAATGCCACGAAAGGATGCGGTAATTGCTTCAAGGGAAACAACATTCATTTCTGGGCTTGGCACCAATCCAGTATTTAGAGCTCATTGTTCTACTCAACCACTGCAAAATTTCGCTTACATGCATGAAAAGTACTAAATGCTTTTTTCCAGCATGTCTGCTTCAATAACATTATGCCCACAAAATTTCATTTGGGAGTTGATTCTAAACATTGCAGAATTATATCTAGCAACTAACTTAAAATTTTGGATTCGCAGATGTGTCAAATCATAACGAGTTCTTTGGAGAATCGCTGCCTTGTGGTGATTATATCTATCTCTCAAGGCATTTCAATCATTCATGGATGTGGTGACAAATGAAGATCATGGCTTTCGCACAATCTTGGGAGGATGTTGCGTTTCCTTTCTAGATGGTGTCCCTAAGATTGCATGCCTCAAGATGGATCATGGCATCTACAACCCAGGTAAGGTAGTTATTTCAAATGCGATAAGATCAAGCTTTGCTAAGTTCGCCCTTTTTTCCTGAAAAATGAGATGTGCTAGAACTTGCAATAATATGGATTCCAAGATAATGTAATATTAGAACATCTCATACTTACAAAATTTTCATTTTTGAACTTTAGGCCAAAATGACAAGAACTCAAAACTTCAAGCTCAAGGTTACTTAATTTAGACATCAAATAAAAAATTGTTAGGTAGTTAGTAATACTTACTACATAGACATTGTCATCAATATTGAATATTACTACCATTAAAAAAAATTAATGAGAAGAGCAATTGTACCGCACCAGAATAAAGTAGTGCAGGATAGGAGATTATACAACACCTTCTTCAACAAAATAAAGTAGTGCAGATGGGTGGTTATACTACACCATTCAAGTTAGCAACTAAATGAAATATGTAGTGCATGATGAGCGATCACAATGCACCATTCAAGTTAGCAGCAAAATTAAATATGTTGTGCATGATGAGTGATTATACCGCACCATTAAAGTTTACTGCAAAATTAACATAAATAAATACTGAGTTAGTAGTCAGAACACCAAATAAGAAATTAAAAAAATATAAGTAGTTAGTAGCATGAAGATTAGAAAAAGGTATGTAGGTAACAGATCTTCACTGTGGTGGCGAGGGATCACAAAGCAAGTAAGGAAGAGAAGGAATAGAAATAGTAAAATCCTTATGGGAAACATTTTTTGGAAATAAAAACTGGTTAGAGTGTCGTGCTAATAACGTATTATAAAAAGATAAAAAATAATGAGAGAGAACCTGCACTGGAGATTGAAGTGGAACAAGATCAATGTATTACTCTGTTTGTTTTCTTCACTTGTGTCGAACAAGGGAAATGAAGAAGTAAAGAAGTGAGGAAAACTTGTATAATTCTTTCAACTTTTAACCCTTTTTTGTTAATAATGATACAAACAGATATAGAGGTTTTCATCCAACATCTCCCTTAGTGCTTTTGGAAAATCTACACACCAAAATAGTAAAAACACACTAACACTATTTAGGCCATGTAACACTGTGATTTTCATTCTAATGGGCATTCACATCACACCGTTCACAACAATATGTGAATATACCATAAATATAGCTAGCTATGCATCTTTTCCAAATTAAGTCTATGCATCCTTTCCAAATTAAGTCCCATAATTTCAAAACATACATGGAGTTTTGTAGGCCAAAAATTGGCAAATGGCTATGCACCGTAGTTGAGAATATTAGGGTCTATATATATATAGGCATAGCTATAGCTATTTAGTATGAAAACCAGCAATCTCTCCAAGTTCTTCAATCTCCTTTGCCAATTCTTCCACCTTTTCAACCATCTCTGTCAACAAGAAGACAAAGCTTGCAATCGCAAGTTCATCAGCATTGTCTATTGGTCCAAATTTAGAAGTTGGAGAAACAATCGAACTTAGCTCTAGTCTCATTGACTTCAATTTGGGCACTATCACAACCTGTTGGTTGCATCGTCTCATCTTCCGAAGGCTCTCTCCAAGCTCTCTTAGGCTCCATACAAGTGTCACCCCAACAGCTTCACTAGGCTCTTCGATTGACTGCTTCAGACTCGATGAAGGCTAACAATCACACACAACAGCTAAGAACATTTCTTAAAAAAAAAAAAAAATCAATAATTATGTTTGAATACACAAAATCTATACATTTTCCGACACACTTTTTAACAGAAGTAGCCCCTACATACGATTATACGTGAAACCCACCTGTATTAATTTCCTTTTCAGTACTAAGTGTCTAAGTATAACACTGCTACTCAAAGAAAATGAACCAAAAAGAATTTAAGCAAAGGCTATTTTATGCGTATATATGTACCTGTTTAGGAGATTGAAGACAGCCTTTCAGGGAAATGACAATGGTAGCTAGCTCTCGAAGAAGCTCTCCAAGTTGTAGGTATTTTGTCCATGGGTAGTGGAGACCAAACTTTCCATGCCATGGTTCCCATTTCGCAAAATTTGCCTGACATATATGCATAATTATAGAACACCGTGAGCTCACTTTTTTGCTTATAATTGATTAAAAAACAACTTACATGTGAGTTATATTTTCAATTACTAGAAAAGGGTGTAAATAAATTAATGTGCGTTACAAATAACAACGCTATCGATAAAATGTGCATGAAAGAGTATTATACCAGTGTCTCATCCTTTGTCTTGGAGTGCAACACCGCCTTGCAACCACTAGAAATGGAAGTCTGGTTATCCTTCATATTTTCATTGTCCTGTCTGAAGTAATTCTCCAAGCATCCTTCAAATCATCAATTATGGGACAAGATGGTTAATTATTTTCTTAATTAGATGGTTCATGCGTTTACTTTAATCACTAACACAAACCAATACATGCTTTAATTGTATATTACCTTCAATTGAGTCCGCTAGGAGTTGAAATTTATGAGTTGTAGAGTCATGAAGTTCATCACTAGCCCATGCGGGGAAGACCAGCAAGTTTATGAATATGCAAACAGCAAATCCCATCCCGATCGTTGAAAGACGATCACGAGCTAATTCCAACACTTTTTGGGCACGTAAACCCGATACGATTACTAGATTGAAGGTCAGGATGAAGATCATGGCTCCATAGTCGTATCTTTTCTTAATGCTTGGCACTAATCTAAAATATGTCACAGATGCACCTGAAATGTAAGATTTACTTAACTAGTTTATCTTTTTTGCTTTGATTCTTTTATTTTCCCCTTATTCAATAAATTTCAATTCGTACCACTCAAAAATTTTATTTTATATATATAATATAGGATCACTATTTCGTCATCAACCATTAAAATCTGTTGTAATGCATGGTACGTGGATAAAGCGCCACGATCTTCTTGGGTAAGGTGGAAGTTCCAAATTTTTTGGAGGCCAACTTTGTACAATATTTAGACCACGCACCATATATATATATTTAACAAAAAAAAAAAAGAAGATCATACACTATAAAAGTTACGTCGCGAAATTGTACTTGAGCACTTTATAATCAAAGATCAAAATTAATCGATGGCCTTAATCTTACCGATGATAAACACCGAAGAACCGATGAATACAGCGTTGCCTTTGCCCATTCCACCAACTTTTCGAGCAAAAGTTGCAGCTAAGCACCCCAAAGCACCTCCTAAAATTGTTCCCAATCCACGGTTTAAGCCCTTACCAAGTGTGGCACCTGAAAATAAATATATTGTTACCATACTTAATTAGTAACTTAATGACTTTTTTTTGTTGGATAAATTAAGCACAATCGAAATTAATAAAGAGTGAAATCCTTCAGTGTAACCAAAATATAGAAATAGAGCTAACCTGCGTAGAACTCGAAAATGACGAGGACGGTCATGATAGCCCACATGGCATTCTCTCCAACTTGCTCATACAAAGGGTCGAGAAGAAAGAGAAGTGAAACCAGAACTAGGGCAACTCCAACCTTGATGCTGTGAAGCAGCTTTCTCATATATTGCTTGCTTTTCTGATCAAGTATTCTATTTTTAAGATTAGAAATAATTCCGAAAATTGAAAACTTGTGCCTCTCATCTTTGTCTTGAATATTTTTGAGTACAAGGATCGAACCCATAAATTACTGCTACGAAATATTAATAGAAATATTCTCTTAGTTTTTTTTCTTGTTTTAGCTAGACAGATCAATACAAATCACTCACTTTGTAGTTGTGAAGTTTGGAAGGAAGAAATCGTGCTTATATATACACGGCTATCCCATGAAAAGTAGCCAAGATGGGACATATATATAGTAACTAGATATTAACCTAAAGTGGACCTATCTTGCTGGGGGCTCGCCACTTCAATTTAACGCCAGTACCCTAAAAATTTATGACATGCCTCAAAACCAACATTGGCTGTATGTGCGCATTTATCAGAAATAGGGTTTTGAAGGAAATTAATAAAATTATAGTCACCTAGTGGAACACGCTTGCATGCACGAGGGTGCCTTCTATGCAATGTGCCAATGCCATTTTAGTGTATAATATATGGAGAATTGTCTTTTCGCAACAACATATTTTGTATACGCAATATTGTGCCAATGCCAAATGAATTGTTTTCGCATTTTCATCGTGGTGGCTGATCACCAAGCTTAGTGCTCATAACTCACAAACATGCATGGTTGCATTGTCCTATCATGCAAGATTATCAACAAATCGCGAATACGTGTAGACTTGACAGTAGGCTTCATGTATTCAAAGATAATTTTATCCGACTGTTACTATCACATATTATGTTTGTTGATAAACAACTTGTATGCATTTGTCCAATAAAATACTTTAAAAAGTTAGTTTGGAATCAGAAAACGTGTGGCTGATCTTATGATAAACGTGTAAGATCCCACATCGATCAACGGAAATGGGTGATATGCCTTGTATGTACATGCCCACCTCCTATAGCACGAGGCCTTTTGGGAATTCACTAGCTTCGGGTTCCATCGGAACTCCAAAGTTAAGTGCGTTCAGGCGAGAGCAATCCTAGGATGGGTGATCCATTGAGAAGTTCTCGTGCCAAAACCCAAAAATAAAACTGTGAAGGCGTGGCTCAAAGCAGACAATATCATGCTACGGTGGAGCTGGTCTGGGATATGATAGAATGGTTTCATAGCCACTCTGTCGTTCGGTGCGAATGTGCCGACGAGGACGCTAGGTTCCCCTTAAGTGGGTTGGATTCCCACATCAACTAACGGAGAGGGGGTGATGTGCCTTATATGTACATGCCCACCTCCTATAACACAAGGCCTTTTGGGAACTCACTGGTTTCGGGTTCCATCGGAACTCCGAGGTTAAGCCAGTTCGGACGAGAGCAATCCTAAGATGGGTGACCCACTGGGAAGTTCTCGTCGGAGTTCCCAGAAACAAAACTGTGAGGGCGTGGCTGAAGCCTAAAGCGGACAATATTATGCTACGGCGAAGTTGAGACTGGGATTTGACAAAAGTATATTTTAATTGGATATCATAAATTAGGGGAGAAATAATCAATCAATTCTTCTTCAGAAAGATGCCTGAAAACGAGTCAAAAGGATAGAGAATAAGTTAACTGGAAAATTAAAAAAAATACTAAACGTACGATAAACACTGATCCTTATAGAAAATGACACCACGTTTTACTCATAGTGGAGATGCCACTCTATTGTCTATGGTTTCCTTATGGCATTTTTTTGGTAAACATCTTTTATCTTATTTATGTTGGCCATATACAATTTCGTTGTCTATTACGTGATCATGTTGGCTAACTTCTGATAAGATGATTTGTTTCCCTTCAAAATTAATGGAAACTATATATGTTATGCTTATATTTTTTAATTACATTGGCGTGTTTTGAATTCTAGATATAGTCTATTAATTGAAAATCAGGGTATTAAATGAACAAACAAAAATTATGAAACTATTATTAACGAAGAATAGAATTATCGGGAAGGCTAAAAACTAAAAAATACATCTTGACTACCTTCTTAATACTAAACGAATACAAGCGCACGCGCGCACACACACAGAACTAAACCTAATTCTATTAGGCAAAAAAAAAAAAAAAAAAAAACAAACAAAGCCGAATCCTAAAGGACTTGGCACTAAATCCAGATATACAACCTGAGTTTGCCAGTAGATAGATGTGGATATAAGTTCTGTTATGCTAAGTTTTGATGCCAATTCAACTACGAAATTCCATCGATGCCAATGCAAGATTCTAATGCAAGATTTCAACATTAGTGCCAGTGCAAGATTCTAATGTTAGTGTCCTGCCAGTGTCAGTGGTAGGTTTCAAACAAACTTCTGAACGAAAAAGCAAAAAATTTAATCTACCACGTTCATATCACTCAAGTGGTCACCAGTCCAAAGCGATCATTGTAGATGACAACTTCTAAAAAAAAAAAAAAAAAAAAACAAACACGCGCGTGGCCTTCAAGAGCCAATTTCTTTTCAATTTCCCAACAATGCAAGCACATCCCTCTCATGTTTTTTATTTCCTTGTCCTTTTAACAAATCAACACAGCAATTGGAGGAGTTGGATGCTCCAATTAGATCCCACCTTCACTTCTTTTACCCTTTCACAGTACAGTACTGTTCACAGACCTTTTCTCTTTCACCAAAAAACCCCATAATTGTCAATCGGATTCCACATAGGGTTTACTGAGGGAGAAGTGAGTGCGATCTCTGATGGTGCGGCAGTGGATGCTGACGGTGGTGCGGCGGTGGCGGGTCAGAGTTCAGGTAGGTGGACATGATGGTGGAGATGATCTGGATTCGGTGAGGTTAGGTTGCTAGCGAGGGTGATGCGGCTGCTGGATGCAGATGCAGACGAACAGGTCCATGCGATGGGCAAGGGTCGGAGTCGCGCCTTGCCATAGAGTCCGGCTCCAGTGCGGCTCGACATTTCAGTACTACGGAAAACAGTAACTTAAACGACAACAGAACAGAGAAGCAACAAATAGACAAACTGATACCCATCAAGATCAAATTTCGAAGGATCAAACTTGCTCTGATACCAAATTAAAAATCAGAAAATCAAATGAACGAAGAAACAAATTATTATTGACAGTAGAATTGCCGAAAATGCTACAAACTAGATGCTTCATCTTGACTAGCTTATTAATAAAATAGGGAACTAAACATAATTCTTTTTTTGATAAAACAACCCTAATTGGGAATCCGGACAATAAAAAACCTAAATACTATTATTTTTCCAACATCTTTCTACATATAACTCCCCCACCACTGAACTAACCACAGTATTTTGACACGATATAGATTGAGGTTCCCATTTCGAAGGACCGTCAATTCACTACTAGATTATCATAAAGGTTGGCGTAGTCACACAAAAGGCTACGGTGGGCTGTAGTCCAAGGAAAGTTTGTGGCAATATGTATATGTATTTTACTGCGTAGTCTAATAAAATAGACAAAAAAATTTGCAAGAAGAATTATTTTTTAATGAAACCAGCTCAGCGAGTATTTAGCACAACTAAAAATATAAAAATTATTATGAAAATTGTGTTACCATTTTGTTCAAGATTATTCTGCTTTGATTCAGCTGGCTTTATATAAGTTTCAATCAATTTTTTTTTTTAATATTGCCTTTACATCTACTTTCATTGTTTTGCTTTGTGCTAGCTGTGCGATTGTAATTGAGATGTCAAGTTTTTTATCTTCTTCTTGTGTTTGCATCTAAATATATGTAAATTTGATGATTCATTGTAATTTTTGCGGGATGCAAATGCAAAACTTAATTGAGTTCATACCAAGCAAATTTTAAGTATGCAAATACATAAGTTAAACTTAAATTTTTTGCGTACAATATGTATGTAGCAAAAAAATATATCATTTGATTTTGGGGTAATTTTTTTAGCTAGCCCACCCACAAAAAATTTTCTAGCTCCGCCTTGTAGGCTTGTAACAACTGATAGTTATATACAGTGCATGGCCCTGCAGGAATGCATGTATTCTCAAGTAAGTAGCAAGACATGAGAAGCACAAACCGATAAATATGGCTGGAAAAAGAGCAAAAATGAACTTATAACTATGAATTTTCGACAAAAAAAAAATAAAAATAAAAACTTATAACTATGAATAAAAAGCTGATCAAGTTGAGGAAAGAAATTACTGACCTAAATTTAGTTAGATAGCATGAACATGACCTAGTTCTGCTAAGACTAACCTTGACAGCATAGATTTCAACTGTCAACAATTTTCTTGTTGAGCTTTTCTAGATAGATGTTTAATTTATAAATCTGTTTTTATACTAAATTAGTAGAAAATTTAGCATCATCCTGGTCAAATTAATGTGTCTGAATTCTTGTTAAATGAATCTTTCATTGAACAGCAGACCGTGTGTATTAACCAGCAGGTTCAGCTCATTCGCCGCAAATATTAAGAAAATGAGTATCAATTAATAAACGTCACTAAAAATTTTATTAAGCAAGTGCAGACAAAACTGAAACATCTTCTTGAATCGCATGGATTGAATTCATAGAGCACTCATTATCTCTTAACTAATGTGATTATAACTATACTAGTACGAGTTCTCAACATTCAAAGAAAAGTTTGTTACCTTGTTGGACTAGGGCGCACACCTTACATTTTCTTGGCTAAAAATGGCAAGACAATGCGTGGAGCTTTTCCATTAAAGACTTGACCTCCACTAAATTAAAATCATTCTATTGTCCAGCACTAAATTGGAGAGTAATGAGTGAGAGAGGGAAGATGGGGGTAAATTTGAAAATGAGTTCAAAATTGAGTTGGTCATATGCATTTTGCTTTTTTTAGACTGGAGGGCTTCAAATCCTAGAGTTAAGTATTCATACTTATCACTCTGCCCACTCTTATCACTGAACTGGCTAATCCTAGTGGCTTAAATTAACAAAGTCATTTGAACACTGTTCTCTTTGTTGAAGAATAGAATCTCACATAGAAAATATAACAAAATAATGTACAACTTATACATATATGAAAAATTCCACTCCTAATAACAATGAGGACTTTTAAAATAAACCTCACACCAAGCATTGTCATAGGTGGCTTAGTTGAGGACAATATCAGTGATGTTGGTGGTGGATTTGGACCTAAAAGTTTATTAGAGA